CATCATCATCATCATCATCATCGTAATTTCTCCCTCCCATCATCACGCCATGAGAGAGGCGATTCTAACCCGGACGGTCACTATATATATTATATACAACCAAACCACAAACGTATATAATATAATATATATGATGGTATGCCAGTTACAAAGGGGTCCGTTATTACTATACCATCGCGCAGTAGCGATCACATTCGCAGTAGGTAGGTGCCTATTATGTACGTTAAAAACCATAGTATATAATATACATATAATATATAGATATGCCAGCATATTATTTTCAAATACYGCGGAAAGATTTAGCCGAATGTCGGTGTTCCGTCGCACCGTATAATAAAATAAGATTTTACTTATATACGTGTGAAATAATAATGTTATTAAAGTTGAAAAAAAAAGCGCGGTACAATTATTTCAGCGACGGCACAAAATAATATTATTGGTGGCGGGCGCGTTACTATATACTCACCACCGCCTTCGAGCTTATTACCCCCCACGCCATCGTCGACAGCGGTGGTGGTGGCGGCGGCGGCATCGGCGGCGCCGCTTATTTGAATTGCTAATTACCACCACCTCTCTCCTTTCCTCATAGCAATGTTACTACTGCCGCTGCATGCAGCAATTATTGGATTAATGTAAATGAGCACCGACGGCGTACCCCTTTTCCTCTTATATATTTATATATATATATATATATGTGTGTATATATATATATATATATTCGCTTTTGTATATATATACTCACACACACATATTTATCTATATATATATTGTATATGGATATAGAGGCGTGGATAGGGGTAAATAATACGGCGGCGGGAATACGAATAATGTACGCGAGAGGCGAGAGATCGTCGACGGGCGGCGAGTAGATGGGTAGCGTAGTACCCTTTTCTCTTGCACACACACCTCCCTTGTACCGACGACGATATATAATTATATACTATCAGTGGTGGGTGGAGGACTGATGGCCGGGTAGGGATGACGGTGCGGGTTGGCACCCCAGCAAGCAGCACCGCCACCACCGCCTCTACCRCCACTACCATCGCCGAACGGGCTGGCCCGAGCCGCGTCGGGATATATAATTAAAATCCGTCCGAGTCGCCGCCGCTGTTGATTAATATATGTAAATTTATTATAATACAATAATAAGATTACCGCCGACGCTGCCTAGGCCCAACAGTTCTGCCGCTGCTTATATTTTATATTTGCTGCCTATATATTATATATATATATATATATATATATATCTGTGTATGTGTGTGTGTGTACACTGTACGTATATCTCGTAACGGCGGCGACGGAATAGCGGTGATGCTTCAATAAATCCTACTCTTTATTCTTCTTCCTGGGAAAATATTATACATTTCAATAGAATGCAATAATATTTATAAACGCATTTGACTATATTCGCGTTTTTTTTATATAAAAGTACGATGCAATATTACAACCTTCCTAGAATAAAATACATGTCTACTCAACAACGGCAGTGAAAATKTATTACCTATATAGGTACYGTACAAACTATATAGACGAAAAAAAAAGCGATAATCGTAAAAGTATGATAAAAATACATAACATCATGTATCAGAATTCAAAATTTCAGTGTAAAACGATAACGCGTGGGCGTGAAAACTTTGTACATGTTGAAAGTTGCTAAGCGATAGTTAAAATTCAATTGTACCGTGATATATAATATATAGGTATATGCGTATAATAGTGAACTATGTACGCGTGTTACTTATGTCACTGTAATATACACTATTATAAACACTGCAGTAAACTCATTTATTGCTCAATACTATTATTAAAGGGGTAACAGTTGCTTCTTTACGAGTGTGTGTGGCGTGTGCACGTGCAGCAACAGACGAAGGCTGCAGGAAAAATATTATCGGTAGGAACTAAAATTTTATTCGAATTGACTGGTTTCAGATAGAATCGGTGGTGGTTGTTAGTGAAGGGGTAGGCGAAGACGGTGGTCAGACGATGTTCGGATGGTTAACAGTGACAGCATGTAGTGTTGTGCGCCGAGCATAGCGGGAAGAGATGAAATTATAATTACTATCAGGTCTGTCAGTTCGGTCGTGTACAACAGAGGATAGTGCGTATATATATGTAATTATATGTATATACAATATATAATATATATTATGATGTATAATTAAATGTATATATAGAAGAACATATACGTGGCGGYGGCAGCTACACAGTGACGACGCTGGAGACGGCGACGAATGCCTATATAGTATACAGTGAATGTATACAGTAAAAGGAAAACGGATAGAGCGAATAAGGGGCAGCGAGAGTGGCGAAGGAGAGGGTTTATACGTTCCATGCCAGCAGGTCGGTGTGATGTGGTGGTGGTATATAGGATCGGGGTGAACGCGTCGGTCGGTTGGGAGAATGTATATAAGCGTGCGCGCGCGCGTGTGTGTGTGTGTGTGTATGTGTGTACAGTGGCGGCGGTAAAGGGTTGGTCAGTCGACGTGGCGGTATGAAATCAGGGTACAGGGCCGAGGCAAATGGGATTATTCACCCTCCTCCACCACCTCGTGTATTCGGTCCACTATTACTATTACGTCATCTAATTATAATATCGTACCCTTCTCTATATATAATATATAATACGTATATATATATACATATACGGATATATACATGTATACTGTTTTCACCATTTTCGCCACCCCCACCGGCGCCGGTTCTATAAACGCTGCAGTACTAACAGCAGACCAACGCCATTACTACCGCCACTACTGCCACTATTACCACTTGTCTCTTTGCCCCTCACCCCATGCCACGTCACGATTTTATTGCGTGTTCACCCCCGGCGTGCACTATCTCAATATATACATTTCATTTACGCAGCTGTGTATGTATATGAAAAAGCTATTCATATATATATGCAGATCGTAATCATTTGTGTTACTATTTTATCATTTTTCAATAAAATTGCAAAATAATGTACCTACTAGAATACTAGAATAATATGTGCGCTACGCAATGCATGTCTTGATATAAATTATAACTATACTTGATTTAATAAGACGGGACAGAGCAATTTCCATTAAAATGACTTGTTATTGAACAACACATTTAAAATAGTTAAAATCGAATCATCGGCTGAACATTTTTTTTTTAAATATTTTATTTAAAACAAAACAAAACCTATTTTTTTTTWAAAAAATCCATAATTTATTAAAATATCAAATATCATATATTTTCTAATCCAATTAAAAATAATAATCATAAACATGTATTTGTTCTTTCATAACGTATTCATCTAGTCGTAGACCGAGGTCGTCGTCTGATTTTATTCATGGAATAATAATTATTTTATGATAAAATTATTTTGTAGATACCTATATATAAACTTTTATGTATATATTGTTATAGGTCAAGTCATAGTTTGTGTAGTAACGTTTATTGTTGTTACTAAACATGACTATTGTGTACTATACACGGCTGGTGAAACTGACCTACCCTTTTAAAAATACGGAGGCACTGACATAACAACARGGAATAAGATTGAGTGAGGAAGGTGCAGGGAAGGTAAACGTAAAAGCTGGCGGCGTCATATTATTATTATTATACTGCCACTACCGCCGACGCCACCGCCAACACTGGTGCCACCGCCGCCTTTACTGCTACCGTTTCACCCTTGCAGAGAAAAATTACGTCGTCATTGTCATCGACCTCTGCCATCACTTCCACTATTTTCAGCACGCCGCACCGCTGTAGCAATATCAGCTTAATAACTTATTTTCAAAGCTTATTACTTGCTACGGCCTTTTAATCTCTCGGCTCTTATATACATCCCCGTCGTCGTCATCGATTCGATCGATGCTAAATTATTGCAATAGTATAGTTTTCAATATTATCACGTTGACTATTTTTTAATATAAATACCGATCGAATCGATAGTAAGAAACATAAATAAATAAACGAATATTATTGTATTATAGTGTACCAACAACGAGTGATATTAACGTTCGCTGACGTTATTATTATTATTCATAAATTATAACAACGTACCTTCATATTGTGATGTGCAGGCGACGGTGTGGACGACCCTCCTTCTGGGTATTGTTGGTTCGGGTGACTGCTAGGTCTCATCGGTGAATCGTCGCAATCGCTCGCGTCTTCGCCACTATTACTGCTGTTACAACTACTGCTGTTGCTGTTGCCGTTAACGTTGTTGCTAATGGTGTCGAAACAATCCATTGATGATGATTTGTCGTCGTGTCGAGGGTAATGGTGTTTACTATGTCGATAGTGACCATTGATTATAATATTCGTCTGCGAATGAAGCCGACGGCGTTTCAAACAGTTATTAGTGACTTCCGAGTTCTCGTGAAGAGGAACGTCTTCTTGTTTTTTTGCCGACGTCTGTGGCAACAATGGCGATACCTTCATATTCGTGGACGTAGTATATCTAGGTATATATATACTTTCGATGCRAGATAATTTGATTTGGATTTATTTCATCGGCGTCCTGAAACACACATACACACACACTCAATAAATTGTATCGTCCTAGTGCGTGGCGATTAAATAGAAACATCTCGTATAAACATTGTAAGAGTTCCTACACATTTTAATTGGTCATACAAACGTCACAATGTACGATATGTTGTAGCTAATGCAGCATCCGCCTTATACACTGATATATTATACGACGCTAATAATCGTCCGTTTAAAATTTTATTGGTGGATAATACATGCCAATTTSATTCTATTCTACTTATATTATCACTGTCATTTACTTATAGTCGTCGTTATAAATTATAATATTATAACGCATCGACGATGCAATAATATTTGAGCGGATGCCGCCGGATAACGTCAATTGACTGCCACTACCGCCGCGTACCACCGCTGCTGTTCCTCTCCATCATTACGATATTATTAACAATGACCTTAACCATACTCGGACACCTCATCATTATTTAAGTAGCAACTACCCCATTGAACCTAGCTCTCTATTGTCATATATTATATACCATACATACATATAAGTATTATATCTCGAATCTTTACTACAGTAATTAATTTATGGTTGAATTACCATATTATAATATGTTCGTCTAATATATAATATGTATACAGTATATATATATATATGTATATATCAAACCATTCTACCTAGGTACTATGATAATCTTTGGTAAAAATTAATTATTTAATGGAAAACGTAATTATACTACGTCATTTTTAGCCCATTATACACACATACATTCAATCTAACGCACACACATATGTGTATATATATATATATATTTTTTTTTTCTCTTTGGTTAGTGAGTAGCCGGAGGCAGAAACGCTGCTCCCTAAACTCGTAATTTTTAAATTATAATTATAACTTATAAAACGATGTGAAATCGATTACTATTTTACGACGATGGTATTATAAATATTATTATGTTTATAATTAAGTAGCGTATAGTGCAGTGGTATACAGTGCAGCAGCGGTGTGGTCATTATAATAATAATAATAATTATTATTATAATTCAAATATTTTAGTATCGATACCTACGTGCAAACGCACGTATGTATAATATGCTAAGGCGTGTTGTATAGTAAGCGGTTTAAATATCAGTTTATATATCTATATACGATGTATGAAGGCAAGGCAATAGATCGTTTAACTTGAAACACCCTCAACAAACTAATAATTATTATCATCAATATTATGATTATTTTTAATTCTGGTATGCTGCTGGTTGCTGCTATTTTCTTTTAATCCAAGCAAATTAGTATAGTTATTATTCAATAATTATATAATTACGATCCACAACACACAATCATAATACTATAAAGATAACGATACATACATTTACCTAATAAAATTCATAAAAATTAAAATAAAAACTATAAAAAAAACAATGAGGGCATATAATATAGTTTATTGGTTTACCCACATACGATATTACCTATTGAAGTCGTAACCATCTAAAACGGAAATAAAATAAGTGATAAAAATCAATTTATAGGTCTTTATTTATTTTTGTTATCTAATATTTTTAAGATGTATATTACCTATTGCATTTGTAAATGGTATAATGCAGACTATAGTTAACAATAATTATTAGCAAAAAATAAAAACCAACAATAMAAAATACACCGTTTAATAAATATTATTATAAATTGAAAAATAGCATGCTTTATGATGATGATGTGTACTCACCGGTGTAAATAGTTTCACAAGCCGTGGCCGTGGTCGTCAATTAATTAATCAATTATTATTATGGTAATTGTGCCGGCGCCGAGTTGCCGAGTCCCCTGCTTGGTCAAAATCAATGTCCTCCAAATACATATACCATAATAATAATAATAATAATAATGATAATGATGATGATGATATATATTAAAATACCGAGCTAACGTGTTCAGCTCGTTTCGAGAACAATTCAAATAGAGTCGCGTAGTTTATTCGTGGTGCGCGCACAATTTGCAATTATTAATAATTATCGCGCGAAAAATCGCAAAACGACACATTCGGGTGCCAATCGTGGTAAAACGACGCRGGACAATTATTTAGGCGTTTAGATAGTATTACAACGGTATTAAATATAATATGTTATTATTTTTTATTAATTAACGTCATACCATTTCGAACATGTGTCATCCGTAATACTGTAATAAATGGTAACAGTGTTATATTATTATGCCGGGCTAAAGAAAAAAGTTTAAAATAATGAAAAGTACAATACGATCGATATATTTTTAGAATAATAAAAAAA